GATCCATGCAAAGACGCATAAAGTGAAGCGAAATTTTCTAAATTTTTGCACATCGTCGAAGTTGTAACTGAATTAAAATTGTTTTTTCAAAACATGCCACTGCATCCCTCCTATACAATGTCTGTATATTTAATCCAGAAGTATTTCAGTTCAGGTGCTTTTCAATACAGGTGTTTTTCCTCGCCTCTAGAAGGGCATTGTCTCTTGTTGTTCGCTCTCTTAACAAAATTATGCCTGGTCTGTCGGTTAATGGCTACCTCAACGCAAGCAGATATTTACAGATGATGTTTCACTGCTTTAAGTAGCCTAGCAAACAGCCCATCATTTTAAGTTTAATATCGTAAATCGCCTTTCAGTACGTCGGGAATCTTTTGAATTCATTCCCGAAGCACGAACAATACCAGCCGAAACACCACCTGTGATTGTTTCGCACCTACAACCAGCAACCTTCCGAGCAGGTCAATTTTCACTTCTTGTTCAAGCTGACTTAATTTTCAGATTGCGTCGAAAGAAAAAAAATTGCTCGAAAACTGAGCACTGAAAATAGTTTGTTTAGAAACCTGTTTTGTAAGAAAAACTTCCTCTTGAAGAAACCATTTCCGGCAGTATTGTTGCAGGTGAACCGCTAAAACTACGCTGTCGTGTTGACGGCTTACCTCGACCAGATGTAGTTTGGACAAAGGATGAAATTCAAATTGAGCAATGGGTGATGGAAAAAGAAATCATCACTCATTATTACCCGGATGGTACCTGCGAGTTGATCAATCCGGAATGTGCTCTGGAAGATGCCGGTATCTATCAACTAACTGCTCGTAATGTGCACGGCACTGCTGAAACTTCTGCGTACATTCAAGTGCAGGGTAAGTTAGTTACTCAGTTTGTTTTTTTACAAGCTATAATTTTATTTGAACTTACTTGACAGCTATACAAAACGGACGAAAAACAGCGGAGGCTAACTCTTTTTTTTGTACAGCTAGTATGCAGCGACTGCACAAGCATTTCTAGTAATCGTTCATTGCAGTTTGTTCTGCCTTCATTTTCCAACTTCAGTGTTGCGTTCGAAAACTCATGAAAATGTCTATTTCAGGAACTGAAACAATAACAACAGTTGAAGAGACGGTAATAAATTTTGATTTCCTCGAGAGCTCGCCAAGTGAATTTTTTTTTTAATTTAATTCTTTTTGGTGGTAATTTCTATTGACGTAATGTTGCAGACTGGTGAATTTCGGTACGATGTCAGACAGTTACCACTGAAACCTCGATTTAGTGAGGTTTTGTCCAGGCAGTATGAGCACGAAACAGTGGTGAGCTGTCTGGTGCTGAGCGATGTACCGGTCCAAGTGACATGGTTTAAGGATGGGAAGCGACTGCTTCCGTCCTATAAGCACAGAATGGAAAGCCGCGGTAATATGCACATCTTAACGATTTGCGATGTTGACAAGCTCGACGAAGGTTTGCTTTCTGTATCGTATCAGTCATAGAAATACGAGTATCTTTTGCTATAATCGTTCAGTGCACAAGATTTGCAGTGCTGTTTACCAGAAAGTTTCTAGGCGGTTTCCTGAAAAAAAATGCATTTTCCAAGGTTTTGAAGGGGACAGGAATAAGCAGCTTCAATAAATTTTATGGCATACTAATAAATGAATTTTTGATTTTTTTTTATAATAAGACTTATAAATAAAAGTTCCAAACTTGCAAGCCGTTGTATGTTTTGTAGAAAAAAGACTGAAAATTCCACGCACGCCTTCCTGAAAGGAAAAGCTTTTCTTTTGAGTTCCTCTAGATCATTGCCATTTCAACGTTTGCACTGATTTTTTGAAACACAGGGAATAGTACCACTCTAAGTCTCATGCTGCTTCAGTTACGCTTGCCTTCTAAGACAGAGGTTTGAAAAAATTATCATCGCAAAAGACAAAACATAGATGATTTCTCAGTCCACGCGTGAAGTTTGCTTTTAGGATTTTACACGTGCCAAGCCGAAAATCGGTATGGCAACGAGCAGACAAGTATTTATGTCCGGGCTCCTGTACAAACTCGAGAAGTAAGCGAGGAAATGCTTGTTGAGGAAAGTACAGACGAAGTGGTCGGTTTTAAGGACAGAGTCGATTATGTCAAGAAAGTGAGAAATTGTTTGCTTCCTCGCATACATTCGCACTTTAAGCTGCGCGTCTGCGCACTCCGGGGACATCTTGAGATATTCATTCAGCGCACACAAGCAATATCGTGAAACAGCTAAAACTATGCCAAATATTCATCTCTGGAGAACCGCTGAGCTGATAATTGCTGCACGAAGCGAAATTAGCATCAGAATCTCTAGCAAGCTGTCATTCATTCGATGTTGCATTGGTCAAAATAACTGGAAAAATTGGCCAACGCACGGGCTGCCCGTGCGAAGATGCGTTTTTTGCAGAGTTCCCCGC